TATTATGATTCCAATTTTCCATTTTTTTGGCCAGGTTCCCTCTTTCCATATTCGATTGTACATTTTGAGCAGGAAATCGAGGGGTTTTATACCAAAATGTTGAATAAAGGAATAAGGGATAAAGTCTGGACCGGGGCTGTTACTTTTGCATTTTTTTAGGGTGTGTATAAGTTCATGGAGTTTGATTTCCTCATTGATTTGTTTTTGATCTATGAGGTTTTTGTCGACAGTATTAATTATATTCACTTCCTCACATTTTAGTTTGTGGGCTAAGAAACTATAGTTGTAATTGTTGTCGCTGCTGTTGTTATAAAAATATTGGCCGAGATCGTTAGCTATCTGGTCAATGCTGTTTACTAGTTGGGTTGAATTTATGTCCAAAAGGTTGATTTTCTGGTTGCGACGTAGTCCTTTTAAAGATTGGATTTTGTTCCAAACTGATTTGGTGTCAGTTTTTTCGTTTATACTGCTGGTGAATTTTTCCCATAACGTTTTTTTACTATTTTTTATCAGGTATTTGGATCTAGAACTTAATTGATTAAGTTGTATGAAATCTTCTTGTTTGTTGGTTTTATTTAATTTTTTAAGTGCAACGTTTTTGTTTTTAATTGCTTTTTTGATGTCGTTGTTCCACCAAGGAACTTTAGGTTTAGGGTTTTTTGCTTTGGTTTTTCCTATAGTTAGGTTGGCTAGTGGCTACTGAGATTATTGTTTCCGTAAATTCATCAACCAAGTTTTCCGTGTTTTGAAATTCGGATTCGTCTATATATGATACTTTGTCTTCTACCGTTTCAGAGAAATATCCAAATTCTGGGTTTTTCAGATTCCATCTCTCGAGGTTGGGGATATTGTCATTATAACGGGGAACAAGTTGTATTACTATTGGAAAATGGTCCCTGCTAGTAATATTGTTTAAGACCGAGAAGTTGAGCCTTTGTGCGAGGGATGCATTTGCAAATGACAGGTCAATATTTGAGAAGTTGCCATTTATTGGATTTATACGCGTTGGTTCCATGCTGTTAAGCAGTACTAGATTATCGTTTTCTAGGATTTTTTCGATTTCTTTTAATCTGTTATCGGTATTTAGATAGCCCCATCTGACATTGCGACTGTTGAAATCACCTGTTATAATGAAGGGTTTGGGTAGTTGCTTTATTATATTTTATAGGTCTTTGTCCATAAATGTGTGTTGGTTGGGTAGATATATGTTACAAACGTTTACTTCTATATCATTGAGTTTAATTGCTACTGCTATTTCTTCAAGATGTGTTGAGATATGGATTTCTTCAGATGGGTATGTGGAACTGACGTATGTTGTTACTCCACCGCTGGCTCTAAGTCCGGTGGTTCTGTGTTTGCTAAAATCTCTGTAGTTGGATAGTTTTGTAGCATTTAGATTTGTGAAATTTGTTTCTTGCAGACAAATTATTTCTGGTGAGATTTCAAGTATTAGTATTTACAGTTCGTCTACTTTTTTTGTAGAAACTATTCATATTCCTTTGTAGTATTTTCATTATTATTTATTTATTACGGATTGATGGGAGCATAGGATATGAATAGGATATATATTTTTTTTTAATATTAGTTATTACTCCATGGTATGGTCGTTACCTAGAGTTATATCTAGTAGGGAGTTGGAGAGTCTGGATAGCCTGTTTTTGATGCTTAGGTTCTTAACCTTGGGGTGGATCGAATCCAGAATTACAATCATTTCCATCGTTGATATGTTGAACTCCTCCAGAACGCTAGAAGGGTCCTGGATGCTGAGTGTATTTTCTATTATGTATTTTAGTTGATTAGAAAATTTTTTTGTTTTAAATTCGAGTTCTGCTGATACTAAAGAGTCGTCTAATTTTAAAATAATTTGTTCGATGGAGTTTGATCTTTTTGGTTTCTTTGAGAGCGGTTTTGTTGGTTTATTGGCTTCAATTTTGGTATCATTGGTCTTTGGAAATGTAGGATGTGTTGTTGGCGGGTTGTTTGCTTTTCTTTCTTTTTATTGAGACTCTTTTAATTTTGTAGCTAATGAGTTCTTATTGGTTATTAAGTTTGGTATGTTGGTTTTTGTTTGAGATAGATTAATTGGATTTTCTATGGTGGACTCATTATCCGTGTGTAAATAGTTGGAAGTTGATGAAGGCGCTGGTCTTTTAACTTCTTCCACTCGTTCTTGGGTGGGATATAGGAAATTTTGAGTACTGTTGGATAAATACTCGATATCATGTTGTTGAATGTTATTTTCTGTGTCGTAGAAACTTGGAATAGAATTTTGGTTGTTCTGTTGAGAATCAGTAATTTTATTTTCTGTTGCCGTTTTACATCGATTTTATGGGTGACCGGATTGTTTGCACAAGTAACATATTACCGTGTCGTCTGATAGAAAGATACGGTATTCAGTTTGCTCAAATTCTATTAAGATTGAGTTGGGTAATTTATCATTATCGTCTGGGTTTATATATAGTTGTCGGCGGAAGCTACCAATATGCCCGTATTCGTCATTAGCGAAGCCGGTTTTTATAAAAGTAATCGGTGATAGTATTTTAATTGACAAATTTGAGATAGCGTTTTTAATTACGTCATGAGGAATAATCGGCTGCACATTGGATAGTATTATTCGTTTGGCTGGATTGATTAGGCGGTGCAATATTATCTATGAGTTATTTATGACGATGTGTGACTGTTGGCTGATAGTTATATTTTTATTTGCGAAGTAAATACAAAATCTGTTGTTAGATATTCTTGAGGCGAATGTTATGTTGGTTGGTGAAGTGAGTTGACTGAATGCTTTAATATACTCTATTTGGGGAACATCTTCGATTGAGTTAAAAACGATTGCTTGGTCTTTTTTTGGGAATTGTATATTTACTGAAGTTTCAGTTTTTTTGAAAGTTTTGGTGTTGTTGGTTTGAGAGACACACTGTGAGATGTCGAGAGAGTTGGATTAGGTGAAGTCCATATTTTTGAATATGGGGTGGGGGACGTGTTTGAGGCACCTGGTGTAACTATGGATAACAATAGTGTGTCTACATACCTTCTTTATTGCTGCTCGTTGAGTTTTACTGCTATCGGAAGCTATATAAATGCGATTATCGGTGACCGTGGCACACGTGTGTGTCGGTCGGTGGTTCCACACGTACTGAAAAAAAAAATCATGTTTGTTGGTAATATTTATTGGAAAAGACCCAAAAATATGGATGAGTGATTTCTATGTTTGTCAACTATTAGCATCGTCTTCCTTAAATTTTCCAACATAGTTTACATTCTAATATAAATAGGAATAGACACATAGACATAGATATTTAGGTAAATTATATAGGTTGTCCAAACTTAAATTTCCCTTAACCCTTAACATGGCGATCATATGCAGTCCTTGAAATGTGCTGAAATTGCAGGTTTTTACATTAATTTAAATATTTTAATATAGAGTATTATAATAAACGTGGATGGAAGACCAAAGCTAACACATTTGGTTAGTGTACATTGATTATTTATAGTATTGTAATTTAATATTTAATAATATACACTTTGCAAATATTATGATAAAATATTTTATATACTACATTGGTATAATCACTAATCAGTGTAATCGAGTAGCACTACCTAGTAGCAGTACTTGTTGACCCTAAAAAAAAATGTTAAAATAATGTCAATTTATTATAGTTAAGGTGTGGAAGGGTTGGTTTCAGCTGGAGAGACCAAAGTATTAGGTCAGAGGGGGTTTTTATTCTTATGCCTTCAGCTAGTTATCTGGTGTGACGATAATTATAAAACATGGAATATATTTTGTGCTCATGAAAGATGCACATTGCACATTGAATAAGCTAGGTGGTAGCACTGAAATCAACTCTATTAGGATAAGTTTTGAATAAAATTTGGTCTCTATATTTGTTCGGATGACAGTAGTTTTGCCTGGTCGTCTTTCTTGATATCTAATTGGCTGGTTAGGTTTGGCGTTGACCAAGGTCTTATACCCTGGTACTAATTATAAACTTAGAGGCGGTGCCTGCGGTCAGGTCCTGGATTCACCTGGAGTTACCCTTTTTAAATTAGTCTATGAAACTCACAAGAAATTCGGGTTTCTATTGGTAAAATAATTTTCAAAATCGGTTTATTCAAATCAGAGATTACCACACAAACTTAACCTTTTTATAATAATAGTATAGATAAAGAAACAAGTCTTTGGATGCAACTGATTATGGGACCGCTAATATTATATACATGGTCCGTCAGAACAAACGCATGTTTTTCGAAATAATACTACGATAAAAGTAATTTCCGTAAAATAATTTTTATCACATCAAAAAATGTAGAAACATATGCAATTTTTTTTACTGTAACAAAATTTAGATTTTGAAAATAATGTCAGTCATATGGCGGCCTTCAGCCGCAATGCAGGAATGCAGGTGCTCCCGAAACGAATCCATCGCGTCGGTTAGCTCAGTCCCGGAACTTCACACACAACTCGTGTGATCTCGTCCTTCAATTCATCTAGGGTTTGTGACTTGCATTGATAGACTTTTGATTTTAAGTGACCCCACAAAAAAAAATCACACAATGACAAGTCAGGGGAGCGAGGGGGCCAAACGTCACCAAAGCGTGAAATGAGGCATCCGGGGAATTTTTGGTGAAGAACCTCCATTGAGGCACGAGCTGTGTGCCTGTGTGCGATGTTGCCCAGTCTTGTTGATACCACACTTTTCTAATACTGAACGTTGTCGTTGAAGCTCAGGAAAAAAAAATTTTGTCAGCATTTCGATGTAACGTTCTGAATTTACAGTGGTCGTTTGTCCATTGTCCTCGTAAAAATAAGGCTAAATAATTTGCGTTGCACCTAATGCACACCAAACTGTGACTTTTGGAGTATGCAGAGGTACCTCATGCAACTGTTGTGGATTTACTGGTGACCAGTAGCGACAAATTTGCTTATTGACATAACCATTTAAGTGGAAATGAGCCTCATCACTCATGAACAAAACCATGTTGTCATTATTTTCAATATTTTAAATCATAAGCTGAGCAAAATTAATACGCTGTTGGTTATCACCAGCCAATAATTGATGGCAAACTTGGATTTTATAGGAATGAAACGCTAAATCGATTTTTAAAATTTGACGTACACTTGATTCGTTGAACCCAAGAGCAACAGCTCGCAAACTGACAGAACGGTTGGGGCTCCGTAATGTATCCAACCATTCCAACCTTACACTGTCCACGTTTTCGAGTGTTCTAATAGCCCGATTTCGTCGGTTAGTTCTTTTCATCAACACCGTGCCTGTTATGTTGAACGCTGTGACACATCTCAAAATGGTATTACGGTCAGAAATCGTTCCATCACGCGGAATATTAAAGTTAGTTCGAAAATCTCGTTGTGTTTGAACCATTTTCGCCAAATTCACCATTCTCGAAGTACGACCGTACTGCGAATACTCGTTGTTGCACACTCCACACCATGATGACACCTAAAACTGCACGTTATCAGCTTTACAAATAACCGTCTCTCACACCGATTAGATTTCCCCACTTAAAGTATTAATAACTTTAAAAATATGCGTTTGTACTGACGGATTTTATTCATATTGTATTTATTGAATTCCTTAGAAGATTTTGATCCAAAAATGCCATGTAAGTAATTTTCTTCTTGTCAATGTTCTATGATGATGATTATTTAAAAAATTGTTTTCGATAAAATAAATTATAAATTGTCAATAATTCATGTATATATTTTATTACTGTGAATCTAAATTAAAAATATTTTGTTAATTAAGTAACAATAAATACTTACCTGAAACTAATGCACATTGTTTCAGATTTTGTGGGGAAAATTAAATATTACCGTCTAGAGGGTAAGTTGATGAACACTTAAGATTTACTATTTTTTTTTAAATAGGTGCTATTTATGAATACATAAACAGCAATATTATGCTCAAAATATCTCCATAAATATGATAGTATACAATTAATAGTTAATACTGAAACTTAATTTTAATTTAAAATTAATTAATTAAAAAAAAAATTAATTTAAAATTCGAAAAATTGCACAACCCTTTGTTAAACTGATATTTATATTGGGGTAAGTTATAGGCAAGAATATGAATAGATATGATTCGGTGCATCAAGGTTTTGGCGGATTTCACAAACATGCTAACACGTTTTAAGTCTTAAGTATTTATTCATGTCTTTAGTCGCCATTTGTTATTACGTGGGCTCAGAACCAAAAGGTGCTATCTCAAAATATCAAATTGTTCAGGAGAGCCATTTTAAACTATTTTCAACTTAAAACTGCATTATCTTTTTTCGTAATGAATGATTTTTAATGATTAGCACATCTAAAAATTCACAAAGTTGTTCTGAGTTAACACTAGCGATTTAGTTTTCTTAAAATCAAAATGTAACGTAAGAAAAACAAAAATGTAAAAAATTTCCGTTAAGAACCAAAAAGTTCTTCAGATAGAACCTTTTGGTTGTTAACATTTTTTTTTTCCCTTAGTTAGAACTTTTTGGTTTTGAATTAAATGTATGTTTTCACTATGATTTTACCAACCTCAAAATAATAAATAATGACATGGAATTGGATTTTCACTTGAGTAGAATAGATACCTAACCTAACCTATATACATGACCGTACCTGTAGAAGGGGTTACCTACTTTTAAAATTTTAAATGGTAATAATCCCATCAAATGAACATAAGTAGGTACTAAGCAATTAGCTGCATTAATTTTTAAAAGCAATTTTAAGCCTTTGCAATAATATTAAACATTATGTTTCAATTAAATGTAGTGATAATATAATATTAAATATAATTTATATTTTTAAATTATTTTAAGTACCTAGGTAAATATCTTACTTAAAATGAATACCTATTACCTATACCTAATTCTAAATTATATATTAGGTATTATTTTATAGGTACTTACTTGTTGCTAATGTCAACTTGTTTTTCTGCTAGCTTCATTAACTTATTGGTACGGTTTCGTAACCCCGATGACAACATATTTTTTTTCTATTATAACGATAATAATTGACAAGATCTTGGATCAGAATTATTAATGTTGAGGCATCCCGTTAAAATAAAACCAAAATAAAAATAATATTGACTAAGGACTAAGGTAAATGTACCGTATATTTATTAAAATTATATATAGAAATCTTTGTTTTGTTGATAAAAATGTACAATATATGATAATATATAATATATTATTACAGTGAATATGAGATAGTACTTTTTGGTTATCACTAATTTTTTTTCTTCTTATAGATAGAACCTTTTGGTTTTAACCAGTGCCGCAACTAAGGTTATTAGGGCCGGGGTGCCAAACCAAATAATAGGGCCCCTTACTTTCCAAAATTTTACGAAATATTTTCATGAAAAATATATTTGTAAACGTTAAGTATCCATCACCATTTAAATTTCTTTTTAACTAAAAACATACAAATTTACACTAGATAAAAATGGTTGATATAGGTACGTTTAAAATTATAATAAAAAAATTAAATATTTATGTTTTTCATATGTTTACATATTATACATAATACATATATTTGCTTATTTACACTATTATACAAAATAGTAAATACATTTAAAATTATAAAAAAATTACATATTTATAATATTAAAATTACTTTAAAAAATTTTTTTTTCTGCTTTTTTGATTGGCAAATTAATTTTTCTACATCAAGTTCTTCAGTGCGAGCTCTTTCTATATTTAAGATACTTATGTTGGTTAATTGGTCTTGAGATATCGAGTTTCTTAAATAGTTTTTAATCAATTTAAGTTTAGAAAATGATCGTTCGGCCGTAGCAACAATCACTGGTAAACTTAAAAATATAATACAAGATGTAACAACTTCACTATACAAAGATGATAGGTCGTTAAAACTTTTAACACTATTCTCAAGAACCAAATGTTGCTATCTAGATCGCTATCAAATAACAAAAGTGTAAATTTGATCGATTTAGCACCTTTTAGTTCTGGATAACTCCTTAAATAATGTACTTAAAAAGTTGTATGTGAGTTTGGATTATAGACCATTGACCAATAAACCCATTTATATAAAAAAGTTTATTTTCGAAAAAATCGATTTAGCACCTTTTGGTTCTGAGCCATCGATTAGTCTGTCGTGTACCTTTTTTTAAAATAGGTATTTACATAGTGGTTAAAATGTAAGTCCAATAAGGGAGTGTAAAATATTGTTGGTCCAATTGAAAAATAAAAACAAGTTGGTAAAGACTTAATTGTAACATTTTTTACTTTTAATTAAATTGTATTTATTTTAACTTTTTAGGATCACATGTTTATATTTTAAAATTTCATTATGTTCATTTTTTGGTTTGAATAAATAATAATTTAAACATTTACTTATAGGTATATTATAAAGTATTATAGTAAAGACATTTTTTTGGTCAAAATCATAAATGTGAGGTTTTTGGATACAAGAATTAAAAAAATTGAGTTGTTTTAACCTACTAAAAGTATGCTATTTTGTCCTGTATTTTACCACAACTGTAAGATTTCAGGAGTCAACGATATAAATATAATATAGTATAGAACTGTATTAGGTACTATGTCTAAGTACCTACCTTTAGTGCAATAAGAAGATCTTAATAGTGAATATTAGTTATTTTATAACTTGATTAGATAACTATTATTTTCAAGTTCTTGATTGTTGTACCTACACTATAAAATAAGACTAATAATTTACCTGAAGAAAATGTATTCATTGCACACTTTGAATAATAAGATATATTTTGTTCTCATGACTGTTTGGCAATTTTAAATAAGTACTCGGTAGTTTTGCAAGAAAAGGTAGGTATTATTAAGACAAGTATAAACCTTATTTTAACAAACTATATTGTTGCATATGGATGACTTATTATCTGGAGTTGTAAGTGAACAATAATTAAATAAACCAAAATAAAGCTCCAGTGTATCATGTTATATGGAGTAAGATATACGCAATTAGAATGACATCAACATTTGGGCTATGTCGATGTGTGAGTAGTAATTAGTAAATTAACATAAATAAGTGTTTCTGAGAATCATTGTAAATCGCAATACTCGCACTTGCATGCACGTCATGTCAATACTAATGAAAAATAAAATATATTCTTGTTTGCATAACCATAAAGGCTGTAGTAAATTAAACATATTCCTGATGTTCAATTGTAACTTTGAAAAAATAGTTACATTTATAAGCTTCTAAATTATGCTCTTTAGGAATCACTTTTTTTGATTTAAAAAAAATATTTATATGTACCTACCACCTAATGCAATTATTTCATGGTATTTTTGACAAAGAAAGTCCTTATTTTAAAGTAATGAAAAATTTAAAATCGTTTAGCTTTGTCAGCCTAGTATAATATTTTATATTATATTTATTAATACAATAAGCCGGTTAGTTTAGCCGGTTTATTAAATGTTGAGGCTTTTTCACTATAGTATAAATTTGTATTGACATTAAATGTTATAAAAAAAAAAAACTAAAACAATTAAACTGAAAATGTAAGAAAACATCTCAAAACAATTAAAAAGATTTTGAAAATGATATAGTGTATATAAAAATGCTAGTATAAACATTCTGTGTAATGTGAATCATGTAAGGTTATTTTTTTAGAGTTAGGTACAATAAAATAAAATCGATATTTTTTAAAAACTTTTTTTACGTAAAAATCTCAGTTTTTTATTAATTTCTTGTTTGTTTTTAATAACTATAACTGATTACTTTTTACCCTCCAAAGTACAGAACTATATTCACTTTCCAAACCAGAAAAGGTAGTGTTGAAGAAAATCGAAGCATTTTTATTGTCATAAAAGTAGATGACAGACAAAAAAAAAAAATATTAAAATAAAAAAAAAACACATTATTCCCCATAAAATCTAAAATAAATTAAGATTTTTTATTCAATTTACTATTTTATACTAAGTAACTAAAAAAATCATTCAATCAGACATAACTTTGTATTTTTAAATTTAAATAGGTATTAGTATAGTTCGTACTCAATATAAGTAATAACTAATAACAATTAATGACAGCACGACAGGGAATCACTTGGTAATCTCTTTTAGTGATTTTTTTTTCAGTCAATACTCTATAGTGTATAGTTTATACCACAGAAAAAAACTAATCCACACTAGGTATATATATGTTACCGGAAATGTTGACAATTTAGGAAATGATGACAATTCCTAGTAAATGTTGACAATTCCTAAAAGCGGAAGGCAATGTAATCACCGCCTAGGAATTGTCATCTTTTTTGTAGTTTATAAGGCAATGTTATCACTAGGGCCTGGAATTTGATGATCTAAAAATATATAAAAAAAATGCATAAAATTACATTTATTAATTTATTTTTTTTTTAAAAATGATATTAAAAATGTATAT